TATCAAACTTTTTTTCTAGTATTCTTGAGTCGAATTCATTTAATATTCCATAGAGTCGTTCTAACGTGGCACTTTTAGTTTTTAATACTTTATCATCTGGTAACTCTTTACTTAATTCTTCAAATAAAGTATTAAACGTTTTGGTAAAGGAAGCTCTAGTAGCTCCGCGTTTTCTTAATATTGCATCCATTCTTAACTATGATATCAAGTTTAACCTTTAATTTTGATCAATGAAATAAATCGCATAACAAATGTATTTACAGTAACTAACCTGTCACTATTGCCTCTTATCACGATTCGGGTCGCCACAATGTTGAGTACGGCAAGAAATATACCCTATTTCTTCCACTCCTATATTTTATTAAACAAAATTCTTAAAAGAAAATACAAAATTGCAACATATTTCTAAGACATAAACTCGAATTCCATTGTATAAGTCAAAAGTTATTGGAGACAAAATAAAACGCTTTCACCTAACTCTCCATTATACAAAAGCTATCCAATTCTTATTTCAAAACGTAACAAACAGCATCTCCTTCAGGAGCTCCAAAAATACGCTTTTAAAAGCATTAATTAGTCCTTTCTTCTAGCTAAATCTTATTAAAAACAGGATGTAATTCCCCTTGGCATCTCCGGTGAGTCTTTTCCGGCCTATGGCGGGCCTATTTTTCCGTTTCTGAGTGTTTGAAATCCGATGTTCCATTGATCTAGGCTTAGAGTATCAGGCCGCCATATTAACGTGTCATCCACTGCAAGAGGATTCCATCGCAATTTTCAACAACTAATATTTTTTTTTATCGTCTTCATTTCCGGCTCAAAACACTCCATTGCATTCGCCCATGCGATTATCTTTCCGATTTTATAAAGTTTTAACTTTCCGGCGGCCTGGTACTCTTATAATCAGTATCTTTTTAAAATATGTCACGCCTAGATATAGGCTGTCGCTATGTTGAAGCTCGTCATTTGTAAACGCTGACTTTGTACACTTTAAATAATATCTTATCGTTGGTATTTTAGTCTAATTTTTTTATGTCTTTCCCCCAACTGTTTTTGATTGATCGCCATCCTCTGATTTTTTTATAAATTTTTAAAGTCACATCACTTTTCAATGTTAACTGATGTTCCATTCCCCATAGCGACAATCAAAACAAATTTCATGAATACAATTACAGTTAAGTGCTTCTCATTTTTTAATATCTTTTAATCTTCTCGATAGATATACCAAATTTTTGTTGTCACATTCCAATATCAAAGTCAGTGTTTACAATGTCATTAGTTTTTGTTTCTTATTCTACATATGTTCTTTCAAAGCTTTATATTATCATCTTACAGTTGTTAGGGCATTGTTATTCTTCATTATGTTTTACTATGTTTTTCCATTAAAGTTTTATTTTGCATCTCAGTGTATTTTTAATCTAACTATGTTACTAGCATGTACTTCACTATTATCAACATATGTTTGCACAACGTCCAATAGAACAGTACTACATAGCTAAGGGCTATACTCTTTCTCCAGTTTCCAGTACATCAGAAGAAATTTGCAGTGCTTCAATAACTTGTTTTAATGACATTCCCTGGCCATACCATTTGCAGAAGCATACAATCACGTTTAGAACAACATTCTTTCTATCTCATTTTATTTTTATAAGCTAGTCAATGTCGATATAGCGACCGCCTATACCCATATCATTTAACATCTTCTTTAGTAAACATCTCTTGCCAAGAGTCAATCTAATGCATAAAAATTTTAATTCTTGTTCTAATGTATTTATGCGCTCAATATTCCCCGTATCCATCAATGTTATTTCATTGTATCCTATCATATGCTTTTCCATCCCTCAACTAAACCTAAATATTTCATTGTTTTTCTTTTTCAACTTTAATTAGGGTTTATACATTTAACTCATTTTAAATTAATTTTTACTAGTGTAGTACATCATATACTTCTAGTTATTGTATGCATGTCGCCACTGGTTACACCGTTATCATTCTGACTTCTGTCCCAATTTGAAGTTGCCTTACTCTTATCGCTCTGACCACCGGCCTCAACTTCTTAGTTTCTTCAGATCTGTTTTTTTTTTATAGTTTCAATAGATTTTAGCGACCTCTTATGTGTATAAACGGGGGCGGCATAATTATCATAATTATTTTCAATGGAGCATCGGATTCACATCTAAATATAGTGTATTAACATCTCAAGGAACCCGCGGAGGTTGGAACATGACTCACCACTGCCAATTTTCTCATTCTGCTTAATTTTCCAAAAAAATTTCAATTTCCCTTTTGTTTTCTCACTCCCCATTATCCCCATCTCCATTAATTTCTGCATTATGTCCTCGTCTGGTAACATACATGACATGCAAACTCATGGTGAACAAAGTGGTGCATCAAGACCCAAGGCACGTGGTGATTTCCTCACGCCATCAATGCATAAGAAAACTGAAAGACCATATAGGAGGGGTGTCAGCTCAACTCCACTCTCATAATAACTCACACAAATATCATAAACAAATCTAATCCAAAACCACATGTGAAAAAAGTATACAAAACGAAGAATCTCGTTGAAATAAAATTCCATACACAAGATGATAAGGTCAATTTGACAAAAAACATTGAAAACAAACTCCACTTCAAAGATAAAGAGCAACGCCTTACTCCGCTCATTATACTTAATGCACCAGATCACTTCGATGGCACAGACATCGCTAATATTCTCCAAAGGAACTGTGACACACCCAGCAACAATATCGTCATAAAATACGTCAAATCCATACCTCATAAAAGAGCTACAGACAAACACCACATCACAGTCAACGTCTCCCATAGACTCGCAACTAATCTCCTTTCGGCTAGATTCATCTTCATAGGACTGAATAAGTGCATAGTTGAGAAAAGGTTCAGGAGATGTTCATGGTGTCAAGGTCTTGACCACCAGACTCATCAATGTCAACAGGAATTCGCACCATGCGTGACCTGTGGTAGCCAACATCACTCCAGCGAATGCAATTCAAACACCCATCACTGCATCAACTGCAGGCACTCTAATACGTACTTTGGTACTTTACACAATCCCCATCACCCACCCTATGCTGCAGATTGCCCAAGCTACAAGACTGCACTCTCCGCACTTCGATCAAATTTTAATCCTCATTAACTTATCCTCCCGTGCGATTTTTGCACACAGAGATCTGTATCGATTCAAAATTCTACGCCTCCACCCTGGCAGTTTCAGTGACTCCTACATTCTTATAGTCAGTGACTACTTCAAAACTTTAATTTATTCTTCTTGAATTCACAAACTTTCAGTTGTACTCACAATTCTCCATGAGAAATGCTCAAACCTCTCTTATTCACAAACTCTAGTTGAATTGATCCCCTTAAAGATAAACTCTAAAAACTCCTTTTCTTTTCTTCTACGAGATTCAATTACTTTTTTTTCTCCAAGTATTTCAAAATTCCTATTTTACAGCCTCTTAGAGAGCGCTTCATACCATGCATGTAGCAACTCTGATCTTTTCATCCTTCAATGTTACTTATCCATTAAGTTTTTAATTACTGTCATCTATTGTAACTTTCTTCAAAATTTTGTTTTTCATTTACACTTTCTTTATTCGTTTTATTTTTTTATTTATTTATTATTTTTTTACCTAATGTGATGTACCTATGTATTATGTGAGCTAGACCTGTGACCAGACGTGGACTATACGGTTAAGGGTTTTTCAAACCTAGGTACGTGTTCACGCCTGGAAGAAAAGAAAAGAAAAAAGCCATGCTATCACAATTTCGATCCTCTGCGGAGGAGACGGCACCCCTGCTTCGGTAGCCCGATGAACGAACTACACGCAAAGTCGAGCACTTTGCGGTAGAAAAGTTTAACGAAGACGGATATCGCATACCCTCTGTCCCATAGCAAAGTTGTCATCCTCCCCCGCTCAATGATCTGATCTTAATGCATTAATTGACATTAGGAATAGATGTAGATAAGGTTTTTAAATAATAATGGATAAGGATTTCAGGTGCTATATCTAGTTTTCCTAAGCACCTAAATATTTACAACTTACTGCTATTTCTCTCCTAAGAATGTGATTTTAATGCATTGTATTTTTTATGAGAGAAATTTTTTAAAGATTAGAGTTCTAAAAATTTAGATCATTATGCAAACTATATATAGCACCCATACCTATTCTGTATCTATTCCTATTTAAAGATTTTAGATCGATATCATGTCAAATACTTTATGTAAATTATTTAGATCCTAATAGTTTTGATTCTAAATAAATAGTAGGTAAAAACGCAAGAAATATAGAAACAAAAATTAATAATTTAGCTGAAAAATGTAAAGTTTATTAAAGTTTATGAAGTTATTTAAATAACTACAGTGAAAGTTAGAGTAAATTTATTCAAATCGGAAACTTATTTCAATATCAAATAAGCTTTATTACTTTTAATGTCACTTGCACTTCAATTTACTTATATAATCCTTCTCAAACGCCTTTGAATTTTTCTAACTTGGAATTAAATGTGCGTCTCCTATTGTGCGCAGTTTTGCTTTTTTCCCTTTACAAAGGTTTTTAACAATATATTAAAGAATGTAATGTCTAATTACGAAACATTCTGCTTGCTCTGATTTTTTCAAGTTCAGTTTAGTATCTTTAATGTAGTAAATTTAATCTTAAAACAAGAGCATGAGGATTGTTATAAAATTGCTTGTAAAATATTTTGTCAACTTTTATTTCAGTCTGCTCGTATAATGGCTGGAGAAACAGTGTTAATTACTGCAGCAGCTGGTGGAGCTGGACATATCGCTGTAAGTAAAAATTGCTTGCTTTTTGTTTAAAGAACGTTATTTTAGTATAGAATATGTTTTAATTTTTTAAATAAAATCCCAGCATTGATTGCTATTGCTCTTAAAAGTTCATTAATAAGAATTAAAACAATCTCAGATGTTATTCATCCACTTAGAAGTTTTTGTAGCGACTGTATAAACAGTAATCCAATGGTGCATTACACAGTGAGTAAGGTGGGTGAGGTCATACCTTCCACCCTAATTCCTTTTTCCAAGGTAAGCAGTACCCCTCATCTAAGGCCATTTTTCTAGCTGTAGTCTTCCTGATTAATAAGAGTGAGCTTAGAAAATTATCTTTGACATTTACAACGTGTAATGCGCTTGGTTAAACATAGCAAATGATTTTTCTAGCAACTAAAGCATTACTATCATCGTGAAACTTGAAAAAGCTTATCATGGGGGACATGTACTTTTATGGTGTTAGGCTGGACTTTCCCTTTAAAATTGAAAAAAAAGTGAAAGTTTAATTATTTACGTGTAAATAAGTCTCTTACAAAAAAATATTTTTGACACGATTTTAAAGCTCATAATGAGCTAGTAAATGACAAGCAAATATCGAACTGTGCAGAAACTACATGACTTTTCGGTTCTCCGAACAGTTAAATTTGGATAATAACTTACTAAAGTTGTTAATTACTTATTTCACTTGTTTCGGAATAGTATATTTATTTTAGTTATTTTCCTATGATCTTGTAAGCAGTTGAAATACTCCTTTTAAAAAATGTTTAATTTAAAATGAAACAGAAAAGACCCATTTAATTAAAAAAAAAAAGTGAGTATCAATGAGAAAACAAAATACATATTGAGAAAACAAAATACATATATACTAATAAAAAATTTTCTTTTTTATAATTAGATTAATTTTGCAAGATTCAATTTAATCATTATATTTTTTTAGTTTTACTTCAATTTAAGGTAAATCTAGCTTATTTTGTTCGTACATTTTATTGTACTAATTTTTATCATGCGTTCATGGTGTTTGATACCGAAACATATTTCCATCATTCCATGACGGAAAATGCTACTTTTATACAATGATGGTTAACCATCAAGAGAAGTTTATTCTCGTGGGCCAACAATCCATGATGGTTCCAACTATACATTTCTATGATTTTTTAATGAGAATTCTTGTTTGTTCTCAGGAATAGACCATCAATTATCAGGAATATGTATACCATTAACTATGATGGAAATTTCTAATGGTTGAGCGTGAAAAAACCATCAAAACACGTTGCTATTCTTATATTGGGGCATTAAAATCAGTCCGAATTTCTACATTGGGGTGACGGTTACTTATGTTGGCTACCATCAAAAATATAAGGGTTCATGGTGGAATTATTGATGGTTACCATTAAGATTATGTTGTTCCATCAATGAAAAACCATATTTGAAATTTTTATATTCTTCACATTTCATTCGTTTTTAGGACATAGCTCCAAACTAAGAAAATGATATAGCAGGAAAGGCACATTTAAAAAATAGAACGTAGCCAATTATGAAATTAGATATTTTATCGTAAATTGCGCCCTTTTATTTTCTTCTAATATTCAACAGTGTACTCAAGTTCTTATTGTGTGACGCCTATGTTATACTTAAATAAAATGTGTACCAATTCTCTTTTAAATACAGCATTTAAATTACCTTAATTAACATGGTGAATAATTATTATTCACAAGTTAACACATATTGTGAGCTATATATTTATTTTTTTAAACTTTTGTTTTAATTTATATATTTTCTTTCTTTATTACTCTAATATGGGAGCACATTGAAGTATTTTACCGTTAAAAATATCTGACAATCTTAAAATGGTTCTTAAATGAAACACTGCACAATACTATTTATTTTTAATGTTAATCATGGCTCAATAAAACATTATGTTGTGTTTTCAATGAATTTGCTCCGTATACTCATATCATTATTTAACGATGAGTCAATTTTTTGAGAATTTTGAGCTATGTCAATTTTTTACAATGTTCTTCAAGCTACATGCAGACGAAATTTTTCATCGATTATGTATCGAAAAAATTAATCCTTTTTTGTTCTAGACCAGTGTTTCTCAACTCTGTTTACTCAAAGGGACGGTTAAATATTTTGCTGTTAGTAATCATAATTTGGACTTTTATTAATTATATTTTTGGATTTCAGTGTTAGTAATTATAATTCGTTAAAGTTAGTAATTTGGACTATTGGTAAAATTTTTGCACGCACAAAGTAGATGCACTTTGACCAGTTTGACTACATATTCCCTACAACGAGAAATATTTTGAACCTGTACCTATTTAAATATTAATAAAATTTGCCAACGAACTAATACGAGTACTAATCCGGGGACCGGCACCGATTTTCGGATCACCGTTTCGAAACAGTGCTCTAGAGCTCTAGATCTACTTTGAAGAGTACACTCTTCGTTTTTGAAAACATCACTGTCAATTCTTAATTGATTTCTACAGGTGCAATGGGCGAAAGCAGCTGATTGTCATGTTATTGGAACTTGTTCATCCAAAGAAAAAGAAAAACTTTTAAAAGTGAGTTAACTTTTCACCTTTATTTAATCATTTTTGCAATTTTAGAATATCAAATAACTGAAAGATTTTATAATCCAACCAAAAGTGTACAACTGAAATTTTTTTTAAAAATTCAAATATTTTATAGGAGCTTGGATGTGATAGAGTTATTAACTATAAAACAGAAGATCTTGATGAAGTTTTAACCAAGGAATATAAGGTACTATTTAAAACTGAATTTTTAAATTATGTTGTTAGTTTTGTTGAAGTATTCCAAACAAAAGTTTGGAATACTTCAATTATTAAATTTAATTTCAAGTCTGCAATTTGATAAAAGATTTATTTTCATTTATTTTTATTGTCAATTCATACAATAAAACTTAATTTTATTCTCTTTTTGATTAAACGTTCATGTATCATTTTAAAGAGCCCTTTTTTTAAGCCCTTTGCTTGTTTTTGGAAGAAATAATTTCAATTATTGCCTTTTTATTTAGAAAAATGGATTTTTATTACCTTACATTTATTTTTTTTATTTTTACACTTAAAAATTGCTTATAATATCTTACATTTGTAGAAATAACATTTCTTAAAAAATTAGTATTAAAATTTAAATTTTAAAAGTATTTTTGGAACAGCTTGAAACTTTGAATATGAGATATTAAATTAGATATTTAACTTTATACCTAAGCATGAAATTAAGTTTTTTTTTATAGGATGGTGTAAATGTCATATGGGAGACAATTGGTGGTAAAATTTTCGAAACTTGTTTGAAGCATTTATCTAAAAAAGGTAGATTGATTGTTGTTGGAGGAATAACTGGTTACAAAAATGATAGCTCGGAAGGTCTTCCTAAAGTTGATCTTTCTAATTTGCCAAGTCAAGTAAGTATTGCTGTTGTAAATATATTAATTTTGATTTTAGGAAAATACTTTCATGTGTTAAATTTTTAAGTTTTGAAGTTTTAATAGATTGCATGTATACTTGTTTCAAATTTTATAATTCTTCAAGAGTGAATTTAAAGATGCAATTTTTTTCAAATATTTTTTTATGTGAGGTTTAATTTGCATGAAATACAAATCTATATTACTGTTAAGTATATTATTATTATTGTATATACCGCGAGTGGTGATATGGCTCAGTGGTTAAGACACTGAACTGTCATTGTGAAGAATTGGGGTTCGATTCTCTGTGGTGGCTTCAAGCCCTCCCAGCTTCAGATCGATGGATACCAGCTTGTCCGGAACGATACTGACCAAATACCGATTCTACTAATACTGACCAAATTACCACAATTAAGTGTTGGTCACAAAATTGTGAAACCTTACTTCCATGACCCTTCTGGATCACAACCAGCTGAAACGAGAATGTGTTACTTTTATTACTGATTACGAGTCAAAATGGTAACAGGCATTTTTCATAAGGTTTTATTGCTAAACTTTCGAAAAATTATTTTTTGTTTTTTTGGAATCAAAATCTGAGCACGTAATGGAGCCTGCTTTGGTGTAAAATATTTTTCCTGTAGTTAATTTATAGTATTAGTTTTATCGCGTCATAATGAAACCAGGGAAATTTACATTTCGATATATTTCGATTTTTCGACTCGCAAACATCTTAATAAATTGTATTTTCTTATTTTATTTCTTGTTACTTCCTTTTATTTTTAGATTAGATCTCATTTATAATGCTGCTTAAGTTTGCGATTTTAAGTACGTTATGGATCCTGTAGGGGAGAGTGGGGTCAATTGTAACATTTTTACCTTAGCTATTTTTAACTAACAAAAAATCCAATATATTATTAGTATCAGTTGACAGACGAGTAAAGTAGACTATCCTCTACTAGAAAAAAAATAAATACCTTATTTTAAATGTTATTATATTAGTTATTAACAATTTTTGACAGTCGTGCAATTGTTACAACTGTCCCCACTTACGGGGTCAATTGTAACAGTTCATAAATTCAACTAAACCATAGTTAATTATACATTATCATAGTTGTGATATATTTTTTATTGATCAAAATAGTAGTGATATTTTAGGAGTAAAAATAATAATGAGCAGAGACCTAAAGGGTCAAACTTTTAACTTTAAGGGGTTAAAAATTTTAATTTATGTTGTGAAAGGTGGCAAATAAAATAATGCCCATGCAACAGAATATAAATGTTATAGGAAACTATTGGTGGTTCTTAAAGAGTTAAGTAATGGTTTGTAAACATAAGATTATTTATTTTCAGCTGTTGCAATCGTCCCTTTACTTATTGTTACAATCGTCCTCAAGATGCCATTTCAACTTCATTTGTTAAAAACAATGCTAGTTAATTAACAAAACTAATTTTTCTTTATTGAAATGTTAATTAAGGTGTCCTTACATATTCGGTTAATAATTTTTATTTGTTTAAACAAATTTACTTTGTTTCAATATAATATTCTAATACCAAAAAGTTCTTACGTAGCGTGAAAATATCTTTTGTGATGACTTTCAAAAGTACATAAAAATGGTTGCCAGCAGGGGGTGAACATGTAGATTTATTAAATACACCTTGTGCGCCACCTAGGAACCAAATCTAGAACCCGACACTGGAAACTTTTGCTTTGTTGCAATCGTACCCTGTTAGAATTCACCCCACTCTCCCCTACCATTAAAATTCTTCATTCGATCAATAAGGTTAAAACAATTAGATATATACACCATCACAGTCGATGGAGAATGTGTGCCTGGTATTTATTTGACATGCAAACCCTGTAATGTACTGTACGCACAAAAAAAGTTAACTATCTGAGTGATTTTTGATTTAATTATTGGATTTTCAAGTACTAACACACAATCGTGAAAAGACTCGAATGCCTAACCTTAATTATGCTAATTAATTAGTGCAGACGATTCAAAATCAAACCAAAAAATGTAATTTCAGTTAATAGACATGTATTTTCTTCGACTGATTTTAATTTTTGACCCTCAAGATATAGGGAATAGCTGCAATTAGGAAAATATGGTCAAAATGATTAAGGTAAGTCAGTGATTAAAAATTTAAAATTTCAGTGTTAAGTTCTTTTTTTCGTATTTAGCTATGTCTCACCAAAGGTAAAAAGAATAAAAATTTTATTTCGTGAAATATTTCGTTAATATTTTGTATTTTGCCCCATAAAATTGCATTATTAAAATAATTAATTAATAATATAATAAAAATAATAAATAATTATAAAAATTATTTTATTAGGAAACACTTTTGAGAATAGAATGTTACATAATAGTGTGCAAACACTTTTCAATTCGTTTTAAAAATTCTCGAGATATCCCGAAGCACAAAAAAATTGAAATTAACATTAAGAGGAACAAACCTGATCCAGACTTTCCAGATAGCGCCGAAGAAAAGACATTTTTATTCAGAATGTTTTTATATTTGATTTCGAAACGAAAAATGGCGTATGCATAAATTAAGTAGCATATTTAAAGTTATTACCTCGAATTTTGAGTTCATTTTGTACTGTATATAAAATTTGAAGCTACTGTTTGGCTGTTTTTGTTACAGCATATATTCAAAATGTTTACATTAGAGGTAACAGGTATATTTTTGAAGTAATTATACCTGTTCCAGTAAAAAAATATGTCTCTGTGCTAAATTATTTGTTATTTCTCCCAAATTTTTTTCAATTTTTCTCACTCTTTGGGTAATTAACAGTTTGATAAAATAAATTGAACTGATATTTATCAATTTAATGAGATAGTTCCTTTAAATAAATTAAAATAAAATTATTTATAAATTTTTTAATTATCTAGAAATTTTTTCAGTTTTTAATTTAAACGAATTATTGCCATTTTTTTAAAAATCGTGCATTTATTTTAACTAATCAATTTAAAACTTGAATGATTCATTTACTGAAACAAAAGAATTGCGTAAATAGAAATATTAACAACCTAACTGATTATATTTCATTGTACGTAGTTTATTTTGCGTTTCATAATGCAATAAAAAAACGAAAAAACGTTGCGCATTTATAAAAGAAAAAAGTTAGATTTTAATACTTAATTTTGATAGTCATCACAACGACTCGAAAAATTTATATAAAACTTAATATACCTACTTTTGAAGTTGTCAAAAGTTTGGTTTGCGAATTTATCAACTTAGTTTGATTGATTAAATTTTTATTGTATTTAAAACTTAAATTGCTTCTTCAATAAAATTATTTTTTGTAAAAAAAAGCATGAAAATTTTAAATTAAATTTTCATTACGCATGACATTTATTTATAACATGATTTTTATTAATGCATAAATTCTTCCTTAAAGCTGTTATTCAACTCATCAGCTATTCAAGGCTTCCTAGTGCTACACTATGCCGATTGTTTTGCTACGTATTTTAAGTATATGATGGAAAATGTTCAAAGCGGTAAACTGCGAGCAATTGTCGATAACGGGGCAACGACAACTGGTGAAGAATTTGTTGGTTTAGAAGGTGTCTATAAAGGGGTTGAGGTAAGGAACTTTTCAATTAAAAAGCTTTTTATTAGTTTTATTTTCAAAATATTAAAAAAAATATGCAATCATTATTAAATATATAGTTTCAGAAAATTGAAGTGGTAAGATATTATTTGATTAAAAGCCTTTCATCATTTCAAAAAATATGCAGATTGGATGTAACAGTTGACATACTTCAAGCGCTCAAAAATAGGCTTCCATTTTTAAATGGATCCAACCTTTACTAGATACATTTACCAGGCGATGACCATTTAGGCTGCCCACGGAAGCAAGCAGAAAAGACTTTTTTATTTATTTTTCTTTGTTAGTCCTGAAAATGGGCCCCTATTTTTGAGCGCTTAAATCACGACGAATGTTATTTTTAAACGAATGAAGTTTTTTAATCGAGTAATATGTAGTCACTATCTTAACAAGATTTGATATGAAGTTTCAAGTTACAAAAAAGTAATTCTTTTTTTCGTGCATTTATCTGCAATTCATCTTAGGTTCGTTAAAATTGCAGTTACCGATTGTTAATAATGCATAGAATTCCTTTTCAAACAGTTTCTCATTTAATATTTTATTAAATTATGTATGTAAAATATCAGAGATAATCCATTTTTTGAAACAAGTTCCAAACATAAATATTTCGAAATTCACACTTAAAAGGAATTTATTTAGAAAAATGTAATGTATAAAATGTATTCAATTTCTTTTACAACTTATACATGCTTTGCTATTAAAAGTTGTTTAACAATTAATGACTATAAAATTTGCAGTGAAATTCCTTTATATTGAGCTTTCAAAATGTAAATTTTTTAGTCATTTGAAATATTTGTTTCATTATTAAGAGGTTTGGATGGCTTTGATTCCATCACGAAAGCATCTATGTACAATCTTTTCGAACTTAATATAATATATTTAAAATTTAACATAAGATTTTGGATATTTTTTAAAGACGTTTAAAAAGGCAAGTGCAGCATTAAAAGCATTTATTTTTGTGAAACAATTCAAAGAGCTTAATTTAATTTTTTAGATCTTAATTTTTGAAGGTAAAATGATACTATAACGTCTCGCGTTTGATAAAAGTAATAAGAAGTTTTATTATTGACTTAAAACTTTTAATAGACTGTCAAATAAACTTTTTTATCAGCTGGAAAAAATTTAAAAGCAAAAACCAGTTTTTAAATTTAAGAAAATTTCTTTTTCATTTTTATACAAAAAACTTTTTTTGATGGCCCTTAAAAATCGTTTAAAATAATTACCAATATTCAGTTCTAATTCAGATGAACTCAAGTAAAGTACTACTAACTTGTTTAAGAATAAGAACATACTATACTCAAACAAATTACTAAGTTTTAACTTAATTGGTTTATTAAAAATCAAGCTATGAATTTAAACTTTACAAAATACTTGATACTGAAACTGTTGTCACTTCCCAACCATTTTTATTATAATTTTCTATGTAAGACGTTGTGTATTTCATTCGAACCTTGATTGTAACTATTTTGAGTGTGTTTTAAATTAAAAATGTTAGACTAAGGTGCTAGTTTCAATAATGTTAGGCTATTTTATTCTAAATTTTTATCTGTTGAATCAATCTACTTAACATATGGATTTAATTTAGTCAGTGGTTATATTTAAAATTAATTAATAAACATATTTATAAAAACACTAATTAAAAGAATATGCTCTGAAATAGTTTTCTTTAATACTTTGTCAACAATTAAAAAACTTGAACTATTAAATTGCTCGTAAATTTTGCACAATGATGCTGAAACTGTTGTTATTCTTTTTTAGCATCTTCATTCAGGCAAAAGTATTGGCAAAGTTGTTGTTAGAATTTCTTAAAGGAACAGTTTAGAGCAAAAAATGTATTTTCGAAAAAGATTTCTTTTATGGAATGATGACTTAAGAAGAGTATAAATGGTATAATTTGCTTGAATAAACTTTGAGCTTTCATGCATTTTGTCTCTTGTTTCTGTTAAAGAATCATGAATTTGTTTGAAATAAAATTTTCTTTTTTAATTCTATCTTTTCATTGTACTCATACATTCAGAAAACTGTTGTTAAAACTAACGCTTTATGGTTTACTTTAATTCCTAAACTAAACTGCAATTTTCTGGTTTTCAATGGGATATATACTATTAAATAAACAAAAAAAAATTTTTTTCGTTGAAATGATTTTCTTTGTAATACTATAATCGCAGTGTATGGCAGAACAGCTCCCGAAACTAAACTATGCGCAATGCTACTGAGAAAAAAAAGCGAAAGGTTCAAGAAAGGGGGTGAGCTACGATGTCCGATGTAAATGGTGCCTACACTCTTCGTTGCCGTCGTAGAAAACATGGACATCAATTTTGGAAGAGAGTAATTACGGTCAATGATGTATTGAGCATTTTCTATGGAGCTACTGTGTCTTCAAGAAAGCAATTTCAATTTTTCAGAGTAAATTAAAATTCACAATTTTTCATACAAAAAATGAAGTTCAATTAGTCAAATGCAGTGTATTCCACTTAAATAAAGCCCCCTTGCTTTTATGCCATAACTTCGCGCAAAAAAATTTGATGGAAACCAAACAAATTTAAAAAAAAAATCTATAGAAAAACAAATACTTACAAGAAGTAATTTATTTCCTGGACCGGAAAGAACATCAGACAAGTAAATGTAGGAAGAAAAAAAAATTGTCCCATCGTAATAAAGCCACTTCTGATTCCAGGTAGTTCATCCGTAATGCTTATATATTACTTGAAATATATCATATTGCGTACCATCAACTAATTCTTGAAGTAAAGCTCTCAAAATAAAAAACGCACCATTCTGAATAACTTTTTATCTAATGATCGGATCTTCACTTTCTAGAAATAAAGATTCAAAGATTGAAATCCTTAATGCTAAATTTTGCTTTTTGCGTATTTCGCCATATATCGAACTATGTGAGCGAATTGAGAACTTTTTTCACTCAGTTATAAAATTCATTTATCTAATGATAATTCCCTGTAAAAAATAACCTATATTTATGATTTTTAAAAATTTTTCTAGGATAATTTTAAAGAATATAATTTTTTTGAGGAATCTAATTTTTAACATACTACTTTTTTATTATTAGACTTCTCAGGAACTATTCGACCAATTTCACTCAAATTTTGTAATATTCCACGCAAAATTATCTTCATTAAAATGATGACCCTTCTCTCTTATTTAGATAACAATGTCAGATGCGTAAATAGGTACAAATACAAGTGTAAGAAACTTTCGCGTCTAAGACCCATATAACTTCTAAACTATTCGTCAGATCATAGAAATTACAAGCATAGGAACCAAGGACAGAGCAAAGTTTATTTTCATGTTTCCTCCTCCAATGAAGCTATGTACACTCTATAACGAAAAAATCAACGCACCAAGAAGGAGTTGTCCGATTGAAACGAAAATTGGTGGATAGGAAGACAATGTACAGAATAGTAAATGATTAAAATTTCAGAACAATTGAATAATTTATTGCAGAGTTACAGTAACAAGTTCAATAAGGTGTTGACTTGTCTCTAGTCTGGATACAATTTGCCACACGGCGTGGCATAGACCGATAAAGCTCCCGGATGGTCTCTTGCGGTATTTCCTGCCAAATTCGATCCAATTGTCGAACGAAGTCATCAACATTCCGTGTCAGATGCAATCGCCTTCCCATCATATCCCAGACATGTTCGATGGGAGAGAGATCTGGTGATCTGACAGGCCAAGGAAGAGTTTGACAAGCTAGCAGGCAGTTCATAGCAACACGTGCCGTATGTGGTCTGGCATTGCCCTGCTGAAAAACCAGCCCAGGGCGCTGCAAAAGGAACGGTAGCAAAACAGGTCTTAGGATGTCATCGACGTACCGCTGTGCAGTAAGTGTACCTCTAATGACGACCAAAGGGGTCCGGCTGTCAAAGGAAATGGCACCCCAGACCATAATGCCTTGTTGAGGGCCAGTGTGGCGTGCAATAGTGAAGGCAGGATCTGCCCTGTGCGTCTCCAAACACGTCTTCGTTGATCGTCAGGACACAGTTGGAAGCGGGATTCGTCGCTAAAGACTATACGTCCCCAGTCGGCATCATTCCAGCGATATCTGTTCAAAACATTCATGCATACGAAATTTCTAAGCAATCGAATGATTGCTTCTTGGTGCGTCGATTTTTTTGTTATAGAGTGTATTATTCGCGAATAGAAGTGATGTTAGATTTTTCGAAAGCAGCTTTATGCAAACAAAACAGAGCGTATCGTTCCCTAGATATAACTTTAAAAGATAAAAAGGTCTTTAAAAATTGTGAAAAGAATTAGGAAAATTACCTTAATATTGGAAACAGCTTTATGCTCTCATATAAAACAATAATTAATGTATTTTAATGATAAGAAAAACTAGAATGTTTTAATACGAGCTCAGTGGTTAATATTTTACTGCTTTTCTTTACCTATCACATTTCAAGTGAATACAAGTGGTAACAAAAACGATTATTTAATTATTAATATAATAGTATCGATCAAATCAATACTAGTCGATCGCAATAATAAACTGTATCGTTAAACTTAAACATTTGCCTTAAAAGAGATTGCCGAGAAGTTTAGAGTTACGAAATCCCTGATACATGGAAATTTTTTTGTCTAGTACATATTGCTAAAATATTCAATTGACTTCCATAATTTAGGAAATATTTCCTTCGAATAAAATCGTACACATTATCATAGTTCAATTATGACGGAAAAGTGATAAAGTTTAAAATAACTTATTTTAATGGAATCATATCGCAGGGCATTCTGGGAGATAGTTAACTAGGATGACTAAACAAGAAGGAAGACTAGACCAGGTGTGTCAAACTCGCGGCCCGCGGGCCGCATGCGACCCGAGATCAACATTTTTGCGGCCCAGTCAATATATCGGACTCAAAGTAAAAATAAAATAGAAATGTTAATTAGAAAGGAAACTAGCATTTAAAATTATAATACACTTTATTTATAAACTATACGGATCATTTTAGATTGTGCGCGTGAAAATGTAAAATTCTAATTGGCTTGCGGTACCTGCCATTCCAGGGATACTGCCTCGTATCAAAAATACGCAAAAAAAAAATTTCAAATCTTAGAACAGAATTTGAAACAAGGTTTGAAACAAGGATTTTAATTCTTTGGAAGACAAATTTCGTTTCTTTTCTTCGATTTTCTCAATAAATATAGACTCAGTACCCAGTAATATGCAAATGGAAGTGATTGAGATTCAGGGCAACTCAAATTTGAAGGCAAAATTCATTGAAGTGAGTGTGCCTGAATTTCACACATGCTAGGTTTCAAAATACTCGAAAATTCGCATATGAAATTATTTCCATGTTTGGAAGTACTTATCAGTGCGAGCAATTATTTTCTGTTATGATGGAAATAAATCTCCTGTCCGAAACCGTATTAATTAACGCTCACGTTGGGTCAACTTTGAAAGTAGTCTCGGCAAATAAAATTTCTCCCGAAATAGGAAGGATAGTAGCTGTGAACAGATGTCAAATATCAAACAATAATTTTACTTTATATATGTTTATTACAATGTACTATTCAAAATAAAAATATTTGTTTCTATGAACACTGATTTTTTTTGCGGCCAACCTAAAGTTAAGCATTGTTTATTTGGCCCAAGTTAGCGTTTGAGTTTGACTCCCCTGGACTAGACGATCGGTTGAACGGTGATTAAAGAATCATACCTGAAAGATCCTGTGTTCCAATCCCCCTTCAGTATGTATGTAATTCATCTCTATCATTGTGTTGTTGAGGTGACGCTGATCAACCTATTTGGTGCCCGAGAAAAAGGGTTCAACAGTTTCACCCGTTAGATATGAGGCACTGCAAGTGCCTCCTGGTACTTTTATTTATTTATTTATTATGAAATTATTTAATTTAATTTATTTCATTTATTTATTTATTTTATTATGAAAGATAATATAGAATGATCATAGTTTTCGTTACTTTTAGCGAATTCCATTTCCGCGAAGAAGTGGCGATAATTATTGAGTCATTTGACAAAATGTTCGCTCAAAGCATATACCAGGAAATAGTTTCGTCAGAAATAAAAAGTTTCGTGAGATTTGAGTATCCCTTTTTTACGGTTAATAGAGCAACGAAAGAAATGAAACATGAAACAGATGGTGTAGGTAGTAGCTGGGTAGTTTTATTAGATTGGAAATAGTTTCATTGTGGTTTTGTCATTTTTTTAATGAGTACACAATTTCATTATTCAGTAATTTGTCATAAAGACCTACTGTTTTTGTAAGCCTAGTTTGTCATTATTTGACACAATTGTGTTTTGACACATGGTTGGAAAATAATAAAAACATCAAATATGATAATTTTTATAACCTTGGAATTTGAGATAACTTCTCACTCAATTACTTAGCAGAATAAGAATACATTATAAATCATCTTACTAACAATGTGCACATAAGCACAGTATCTACTCCTTTTATAGTAACGCACAATATAACATTCTATCTGAGTAAACAGGTATTAAAAAAACGCTCATTTTTTAAGGATATGATTAAATAAGAACGTAATATAGACGCGATATTTGTCGAAAAAATTAAATCCTTTATAATAAACTGACAATCAGGTTAAAGAGAAAAATTGTCAAATAAATACTGAAAGAAAACACAAATAATTAAGATCAAAAAGATAAAACTTCTTTGAAAAAACTTCTTTGAAAAAAACGCGCTAAGAAGCAGCAGAAATTTCAGAAAAAAGTATCAATACAAGAAACAAATGAAATAAAATAAAAATATGACCACCGAAGCCGACGTCTTGAAGACGTCGGCTTCGGTGGTCATATTTTTATTTTATTTCATTTGTTTCTTGTATTGTCAAATAAATCTTAGAATTAAATTAAATGACAATTAAATTGTAGAAATCGGCACTATAATAATTGTAAAAAATAATAGTAATCGGTTAAAAGTTTACAATGAAATAATATAAAGCAATTAAAAATTATATCATAATAAAGGCATTGAACTTTCAATCAAGTAAATGAATAAATCATTGTATCAGTGTTAAATGAACAGCTAATCAGATCATAGAAGCAAATTGACAATTACATATTTAAATATATCACAGTATAGAATAGTAAAAAATCTGACAATCAAATCAAAGAGATGAGCTGACAAAAATTGAGATAGTTTGATAATTTAGATAACATAAAACGACTTAACAATCAATTTAGAGAAATGAACTGATAATTATTAAATTTCTAAAATATTATTGTTGCCGAAATTGTAGAGGCAAATAGACTGTTAAATATTTAAAAATGACATCACAATATATAATAAAAAAATCTGACGGTCAAATCAAAGAGAAAAATTGACAAAAAAAGGAGGTGAATCGACAGTTTAGATTATATAAAGCGAATTGACAATCAAATCATAGAAATGAACTGGCAATTAAATTATTGAAAAATTATTGATTTAACAATCAATTTATAGAAATGAACTGATAGTTAAATTATTTAAATATTACTGCTTCCGAAATTGTAGAAGCAAATTGACTGTTAAATATTTAAAAATGACATCACAATATATAATAATAAAAATCTGACAGTCAAATCAAAGAGATAAACTGAAAGAAAAGGAGGTGAATCGGCAATTTAGATTATATAAAGCGAATTGACAATCAAATCATAGAAATGAACTGGCAGTTAAATTATTGATTTAACAATAAATTTACAGAAATGAACAGATAGTTAAATTATTAAAATATTACTGTTACCGAAATTGTAGAAGTAATTTGACTGTTAAATATTTAAAAATGACATCACAATATATAATAATAAAAATCTGTCAGTCAAATCAAAGAGATAAACTGACAGAAAAGGAGGTGAATCGGCAATTTAGATTATATAAAGCAAATTGATAATCAAATCATAGAAATGAATTGGCAATTAAATTATTGAAAAATTATTGACTCTAAAATATTAGAAGTAAATTAACTATTAAATAATATACAACAAAATGTAATAGTCTACTAACTGGCTGTCAAATCAAAGAGATGAACTGACCAAAAAAAAGAGAGGAATCGTCAATTTAGACAATATAAAATGAATTGTCAATCAAATCAAAGAGATGAACTGACAAAAAGAGGAAATTAATCGAGAATTTATGTCTTAAAAAGTGAATTGGCAGGCGAAGCATATAAATTAGTATTTCAGTTAAATCACAGTTAAGGCAATATAAAATCCTGGAAATGAGCTTACAATTAAATTAAAGAATAAGCAAACAAAATCATAGGACATATTTGACAATTAAATAATAGAAGCTGAATCTTAACAATCAAATCAAAGAAATATAGCGTAGTTAAAACTTAGAAATTGTAATTTGTAACCAACAACAACTATTTAGTAAAAAAGTATCAACCTACTAAAGATACAGTTTTAGTACGAAGTGAACATGTTATGGATTTGATAATACAATTTGATGTTAAGTAACTTGAAATTTTTTTTTAATGAACCTAAACTGTTGAATAAAAAATAAGTTTATAATTTTTAAAAAAGTCTACAAAATGAACTATTCAAATGCAAAATAATTTGGTAACTTGTATTACAGTTAAAAATATGTTATATAGACATTACATTCAACAAAACAAACATATTCAAGATAAGATATTCAAAATATTTCATGGTTCTTAATATTTTTTGTTCAACAAATGTTTTAGTATACTTTTAGAATAAGTGAAAAATAATTCATTTTTTATACTTGTTAGCAAGAGTATTTTTTAAAAAAAATTGATACTGTATACCAGTCGCAATGAATTTTTTTTCTTTTTAAGTTTCAGTTAATTGATTTAAATTATACTTGTATTAAAACAAACCAACTAAAGGTCTTCATCAGAAAGTAATGCCATTATTAATAATACTTTAATTATGTTACAATGGTTACAAATAACGATTAAAAAAGCTGATGCGAGTATTAAAAAGAAAAAAATTATAACATGCGCTTATAATGATTAAATAATCCTTCAAAAGTACTCTTATTGAATGTAATTTTTTTAATATTAACTTTGAAATTTTGATTTACTTCAATTTTATAAGCATGTTATGCGTCTTAATGTCTTAACTTTTTTTACAATCTTAGAATTAGCTAAAAATTACATTAAATAAGGAAAACTAAAATTTTAATTTTAGCTGTAAGTTGAAGAATTTATAGTTAAAAAAAAACGATATAAGTCAATGCCATATTCAGTTGATATGCTTACTATATTTGTTATTATATTTGATTTTATTATTAATATTTATAATTTTAGAATGTTCTTTTTATTAAAAATTCCTTATAAATAATAACAGACGATTAAATATATTTTGTACGATTTATTGATATTTATATAAATAACTGAAGGTTTATTTTCGAAATAATATTTAACAAATCAGCTACTACACTAAAATGATTTTATTTCGAATAAATATTTTAAATAAAATTTAGTATACAAATTATCACAGAGTACTAAATTTTACAGACATAATAAAGTAACAAACTCTCATCAAAAATGGAAATTTTTACATGAAAACTCCTATGAACATAAACTTTGTACAACATTTACACTTCCCTTAATGCAGATATGCAAACATTAGCCTTATTAAAGCTGTGCTTAAACATTCAAAATGAAAGTAAAAATTGGTATTCCATATTGCTTTAAGATTTTTCATATTTATGTACAATTGTAGAATAAATATAATTATCGTCGTTTGATTTCAAATCTAACACGATTTAACTTCAAAAATTTTTAATTTAAAATAAATAAAACTTTTGATATTTTGATCATTTTAATATGAACTAATCTTGATTCTTTCATTGTATTAAGACATGATAAGGATAACTTCTTTATTTTACGGTTCAACTGCACATTTTTTTCTAAAAAATAAGTAAATATTAAAAAACTTTATAACATTATTTTCGAATTTTTAGATATTCAATTTAGTTATTAAAAATTTGATTACAGTAATTAATTCAACTATTTTAAGCAAATACTAAGCATCTTTTTTTAATCGTATGAATTTAAATAAATAATTTAACTTTTTACTATCAGAATCAAATAAAGATAGGCATTAGTCATGAAAAATACTAAAATAATTAAATTTTATGGAAAAAAATCGAATGATTTGAAATCAAACGCCTCAGTCACATTTGTAAGACTTTTTAAATAAACTATGATGAATTTTCATTTAATAAACATATTTTTTTGCACTAAAATGTGTTACAACTGCATATTGTGTACAGATTGTGAATTGATAAATATTTTAGTGTAGCATGCTACGGGAATATCATAAAAATTATTAACGTACATTCTGACTAATCTTGTTGTTTTGCTCCTCCTATTTTCACAGTCTTCTATTTCAATGCCACGTGAAAGTAAATGTTCATGCTCATCCTCAAGTGCTCGCATGAAATGTGAAGTTGGAAAAATAGTGCCTGGAACTCTTTGACATATAATTTCAAAACACCCTCTTTGCTCTTTTGTAACTGTGTCGATAGCTCCAGAATCAAACATGTTCTTATGTAGTATTCCTTCCATAATATACAAAATCATGAGTTGAGGTCGAGTCAAGATTTGGGATCTGAAAGAAAATTAGGTTTTAGAAACAATTAAAATTGAATAAATTTTATTCTGAAGGCATATTTTTAGATTAATATACGAAATGATACAGATTTTATTTTAAAGGGTTAGGATAGATTGAATTAAATTTCTTATAAATTTTTTCGCTTATCCCGAGCCGCTTTAATAGCGTGCATATACTAGGATATAGTTAAAATACATTAAAACCAAACTGAATTCTAAACATGATGAAGATGAATATTTGTAAATGGTAGGGAAAATGTAATAGTCTGAACAAGATGATCTTCAGAAATTAAATATTTCCATATGGAAAAATATCTCTATCTACAAAGTGTTTATGATATCAATAAAGATGAAAAGCATCGGTAGGCTAGGGTGCTGATACTAAAACATTGGCTTTAATAGGGGGCATCCTAGTACATAGTAAAAGGTTACCAAATTCTAAACATGTTTAAGCTGAATATGTATAAATGGTAAAAAAAATTTTTTAATTTGAATAAAAGGATCTGCAGTAATTAAATATTTACAGATGAAAAAATGCCTCAATCTAGAAAATGTATGTGATATCAATAAGGATGAAAAGCAATTGATAGTCTAGGATGCTGATAATAAAACTGTTGATAATTATTAACTGTGAATTTATTCGTAACAAATACATGTAGGCTGTCCTGTAACCAGCAGAAATGTTATTACTGAGTTAATGTTTTAAATAGTCCATATATATTAGAGAAATTTTTTTCACATTTTTTTCGAAATTCCCAGTTATTCAATAGTTATTGGCTTCGCGTGCAGGTTGTCGGGTTACCGAAGAAGAGGTGCCATCCCCTCTGCAAAGGATCACAATTGTGATGGCATGTCTTCGGATCATCCTCAGGGATGTTTCCCAGACCGTTGCCAATAGCCCATTGTGCAGCTCTAGTGCGACGTAAATGAACAACAACAACAGCAATATTAAATGCTTTTTTTCATTAATTTCTCTAATGTTTTTCGCTTTACTTTTCATTTTGTTTCACTGCTATAAACTGTAGAATTGAAAAATTTAAAATTGCGAACATGCGTAAAAAATGTGCAGAGAGTACTACAGAATAAAAAGAATTTAAGCTTCAGAAATTAGTCTAAAAATTATCAATTGTTAAACCAGTGGTAAAAAATACTATGCCAACTGATCTGAAGCAAACATAAATGAAACGTTATAGTTGCAATTAGACTTGCTGCTGAAAGGGCCATTGCAATTTATGAACTTAACGTTATCATTTTTTGGAGACCCTATTTATTCTAAAATAAGTGCAATTATACTTTTTACGCTATTTTTACAAAAAAAAAATTTCCTTATATAATAGCTGTTTTTTCATGGCTGTAGGAAAATTGGAAAATTTCTTTCATTTTCCCAAGGTTTTCATTACATAGACTCGCTCTTGACTTCATGTCAAAAGAGACAAAAACAATGAATAAATAAAATAAAAAATATGAGAGTGAACAATTATATGTTTCCAGATATAAATTTTTATATTTGTATCGAAATTGTTAAATACATAAAAGACTCAATAGCGAAAAAAATCATTTCAAATTTAAACGGTTTTATGGTATATAATGTCATCGTCACACACGATTAACAAATAAAATTACTTCTCATGCATTACTTTTTATTTTGTCATACATTTTATAATCAAAAGGTCAAATATTTTTTTGCAGTTAATAATTTTTTAAATACAGGAAATTCAGAAAGCAAATTTATTGGCTTCGAATATAATTTAAAGAATAATGTATAAAAATGTTTTTAATTTATTTTCAACAAGTCATGTTTTTCTGTTTAGAAAATTAGTTATGTGGATGAGAAATTGTTAATTTGTTTAAAGTAAATAAACATGGATAAATACTATTCTTGTGATACTTTTAAACTCTTATTAAATTAATTATAAATAAATATTGATGACTGGCCATTTTATCTTTAAAGTTTTTAATTTGATATTATGTACATTGTAATACTAAAGTTTTAATTTAAAGTCTTCCCCTTTTTTTATATTTGCTGTACTTAAACATATGAAATATATTCAACCTAACTTAATAGTTTTCTTAAGCACGAAAATTTTGAGTCTATTTGAATACTAAAGGCATGAATGTGCCATCTATACGTTTCTTTTCTTATATTTTTTTTCAATTTACCTATGAATAAAACCAATTTTGATTAAAGTTTATTTCAGAATGTTAACTATATTTTTATTATATTTAATTTAATACGACTGTTGTAAGCATGGGCAGGGTTGACAAAATTCATGATTTTTTTTATTTTTAAAAATCACGCATATTTAATTTAAATAAATTTTTTTTATTTAAATCAGATTTTTGTTGATTTTTTTATATTCACCAATCAGATCATCTGATTAAATATATAAACAGTACTTAGTATTATTTAGAAGCAACACGATAGCTGAGATAGTAGATATTTCTAACTAAAATGTTTCCAAATTTATTATTTAATTGCTGCACTGAATAAATAAAATTTCGGTTATTTTTCTTCAAGCTAAACATCCTAACATTTTAAAGGCAGAGAGGCAATTTGTATAGTAGATATTCAATGAAAAGTAAATTAATTTAGATCAGAATACAATAAAGAGAGTTTCTTTTAATACAGCAAGTTTTAGTTTTTCCTCAGTATAGGTAAACACTAATTACGTAATTAATACGTTTTAAAAGCACTAAAAGCATTTAAATAGACATAAAATTAAATGGATATAGTTACAATATGTTCATTACGAGTAAATTATTTTAAGTACAGATAATGAAAAATTATAACTTTACAGTTTAATGCTACTCTTATCCGCTTAAAATCTCTAATTCTATTTATTTATTTGGAAATATAATAGTTTACTTTTTCCTTGGATTTTAAAAAAACACATCCTGAAGAATATATTTATAAAAATGTTTTTGGATTAATAATTTATTTAAAAAAAAATCAATCGGTTTTACTCAGTGATTTTCTTTAAAAAATCACTAATCAATGATTTTTTCATGTAAATCAATGATTTTTTCATGATTTAAATCAAGCGATTTCAATCATGCCAACTCTGGGCGTGGGTTTAAAATTATTTTCCAAATTTCAATTGTTTTTGTACTTACATGAGAGGAAAGTTGTGATCCCTTTCTTTAATCAGTGATTTTATAAAAAAAAATCACAGCTAATTTAAATTAATGATTTAATGATTTTTTGAAGAAAAAAAATCAAGGGATTTAAACCGTGCGAACTCGAGGAAAGGGTATAAAATTAATGCCTAAATTTCAGTTATTTTCGTAGTAATATGAAAGGAAAGTTGTGACCACTCTTGTTTAGTCAGTTACTTTCTTGAAAAAAATCACAATTAGTTTAAATCAACTATTTTTTTAAGAAAATCATGTGATTTAAATATTAATTATAGTTATGATTTAACTCAAGTGGTTTAAATTATGCCAACCCTGGGCATGGGAATAAAATGAATAGCTAAATTTCAAATATTTTCATACTTACATGTCAGAGAAGTTGTGACCGCTTTTCATCTGTTCATGTTGAGGAAATATCTGCACTCCAGATCTTAAGAGAAAAAGCATTCTCTCCCTATCTTCATTTACCATAGCATTTAGAATCGAAAACTGGTCATAAAAATCCCATACTTTGTTCAGTTTGTCAGAATGCTGAGATAAAAGATCGTTTAAATTGATTCCTTCATTTTTAGCATGATGAATCACATATTGCAGAAAGCCGTTGTCATAACTTTCATGTCGGATGCGGCCAGCATCATCTGAATTCAGTAAATGCATGTTCAATATCATTTTCAAGAGTTCAGTAACAATGTGACTATTGTTCAAATTCTTCTGATGACAACATCTTAAAATTGATGCAATATTTTGATATTGTTCCAGCTCTTCATCACAAGAATTAATTTCTGATACAGGTGGTATCAGGTTACAGACAGTGAGGCATTTCATTAATAGAGATTCTATATCGGAGATGCTAGATTTCTCACATTGGTCTTTTAATTGAGTTAAATAAAAACTGAGAACATTTCTTTGGTGGTTAAGAAAACTTGACTGCATCATATGCTTTTCTAACTCTTCTTTGAACATATGATGTAAATCAGATTTGTCAGATGATTTGAGTCCATGAAGTGCCTGGAAGTTTCGCTTATAATCTTTATAACCATTTATAAAAGCAAAGCGTGTATTTCCCAGTTTATTCAGTTCTACGATCTTATGACTTATATTTGACTGACTTGCACGATCTTCACAATACAAGTTAAAGTTTTTTAAGTTCAATGGTTCCAAGGTTTCACAACATCTTTTGGTATGTTGCTTCACCACGTCTTCCATAGTTACAGATCTTCTTTCCATAGTTGTTAGTTTTTCCTATAAAAATTAATTGTTTTAAAATGCATGCTAAATTAAAAGAATTGGGGGATATAGTGATACACAACAATATTTTCAAATGTGACAATTTTACATCAAACTATTACTAATATTATTAACTAATATTATTCTAATATATAATAATATAAAATTAATATTATTCCTAAATTGTTACCTTACATGTTCCCGGAATTTTTCAGTGCAATAAGTATTTTGTTGCCTATAGAGAAATGAGACTTATCGCAGTATCGCCCTAAGTAAAGCAATTGTAAATTATCCAAAATGATATAAAAAATATTTCATTGGAGATACTATAATGAGTTTGACATAAATTATCTCTAAAAAATAATTAAAGTTATTAAAACTTAATTGAAGTTTAATAATTTTTGTAATGAAGCTTCCGGGAGGGTTAAAATTCAGTTATATAGAATATAAACATTACTGGACGTTTTTTATTATCAGCATTTAAATATTTAGCGCCGGAACATTTTCTCGTCAAATTTTAGGTAAAATTTTTTTTTTGAATACATGTGTGATAAAAACATATTTAATGTAATATAAAAAATATGAGTACAAGAACACATACTATTTACGAATTATATGACAAAATATATTTTTGGAAGGTAAGTGGGATCAAAATATGTATAATGGAGTACAAAAAGAGAGTATGAGTAGTAAGAACACATACTTTTTCATTAATTATATAATAACAAAATATGTTTTTGGCAGATATGTGTGTTAAAAATGTTTATATTAAAGGATGAAAGAATATAAATAGTCAGACTTCTCACGAAATATGAATGTTATACAAATAAATAAAATTCTTAAAGATACAAAAATAAAATTAAATAAAAGGAATGCTTTGTGTTTTGATTTCATGAAGTGAGTATTGTTAGTAAAACGCCTTTTGCAATCATTTTCAAAACAAATGGTTAAATGATAAACAATATAATTTCAGTTCCGAAGTTACAGAAAACTAAATTGGCATAAATTATTAGTTTACATTAAAATTATATATTACATTAACAATTGTGAATTTAAATTAAGATTTTTGAGTATAACACGCAAAGGTAGCAAAATTTCCTATAACGGCATTTTTGAATCATTTTTTTAATCATTTTTTAATCATTTTTAGTAATTTTTTGCAGTCATTTTAAAAATTTTATGGTTAAGTAACAGATAATATAAAATAAAGTGATATAAATTATAGCTTTACCATGAACTTATATATCACTCTAATAAGGTCATAAATCTAATAATAAATTTAAATTATGATTTATGAAAATCAAAGGTTATTTAATTTCCTATAACGACAAGTATGCTCTCAAAAATTTCATTAATATGGTGAATTTTAACATTTTATAAAATTTATGACCTTCATATAAAATAGAGGCTGACTATAAATAAAGTGAAAATGTTTAAAACGAAATTTTATTAATCATAGTATTCGAAGTCTTATGTTAAGAATCAAACCAAACACTCATCCTAACATGTATATGAAAGAACATTGCGTAATGCACTATGCTGTTCTATCTCACAGTGCAAACAGCACTCTCGAAAAGTGAATTTCAAAGTTTCTGTCTTTCATAAAGAGGAAGAATTGCCCCCTTATTCCCCAGACTCGTATCCTGTTAATTTTTTCTTTGGTCCCTCTCGATGTCTTGTGCCCCATGAAACTTTGGCATCTCCAAAAAAATCCTTCCGAAAAGAGTGGATTAAATATCAGTACGTTAATGTCCATAGTAGCAGAAAATTTTGCAGAAAAAGTTTACAAATCTGTCATCAAGGTAATTATAAACTTCAACACTACAAAAATGGTTTCTATAAATTTATTTTTCAAAATTTTATTAAAAATTGAATTAAAATTCATAATTATTGTTTAAAAGCTTCAGTGCTGTATTTTAGTAAGCAGTTAAGTTTTAGCTTGTTAAGTATTCTAAGTTTAAACGAGTTAATAAGAATTTATTATTGATTAAACTGTAAGATACTTTTTTAAATTTTGGTGTTACTTTATGTTTTATAAAATAAAATGTAACAAGATTTTAGTTTACTATCTGATTTTCAAATATAGTCGAATGGAAAATCATAAATGATGCTTTTGCTTTCTTAACGATTATTATGTTAAAAAAAATGCTTTTGTTTTTTAATGACCAGTATATATAAATATTGATGTTTTACTGTCCATTTTATTCGTTTATAATATGTTTTAAAAATAAGTTGTTCCTATTAGAAACAATTTTTATCTAGATTGAAATTTGGGAATTTCCCTTATTGTTGTTAATGATTTGGGAATTTTCCTTGTTGTTGTTAATGATTTGATTATTTCCCTTATTGTTATTAATGATTTGGGAATTTCCCTTATTGTTGAACATTGATAATAAACTCGTGGTTTTAATGCGTAAAAAAATACTTCAATAAATACGTAGGTAAAAAGTATAAGAATTATTGACTATTTTAAATTACGATGCACAGTACTGCAAAGATTTACTTATAAGCTAAGTATAATGTTGTTTCGATTAAATGAACATACTATAATATTATTCCAATTGCAATGCTTACAGTGTTCCTATAGCATTCCATTATCATATTATATATATATATATA